GACGTGAGTAAGGGGGGGGGGGTTTCTTGAGAGAATGGTTTTGGATTTCTTCATTTGAGCCTCAACTTTGAGAGCCAACTTAGTGAGCTCTTCAAATGTAGTGTAGCCTTGCAGCTCCACCGTATTGGCTATTTGGAGATTTAGGCCAAAAGGTACCTTACAAAGGTTTGCTCTTCGTTTTCTTGCAAGTCACACCTTAGTAGGAGTTCCTCGAACTCCCGGGTGTAGTCTTCCACTGATTTCGTACCTTGCCTAAGCGTTTGAAGCTTAGCAAAGTTCTCTCGGGAATATTCAGTGGGTAGGAACTTCTTCTTCAAGAGACTCCTCATCTTTTGCCATGAGTCAATGGGAGGCTTCTCACTTCGATTCCGTTTGGTGCAGGTGTTCGTCCACCAAGTGGAGGCGTACTTGCGGAATTTTAAGGCCACAATCTTGACCTTCTTGTCGTCGGAGACTTCTTTGAAATCAAAGACTCGTTCCACTGTCTCTAACCACTCAAGAAATTCATCCGGGTCATTCTTCCCTTCAAAGATTGGAATATCAACTTTGAAATCAGAATGGGACTTTTCATGAGCCCTTGCTCTCATGGTGTTACTAGAGCTAGCTTCCTCTTCATCTTCACTATCTTGCAACATGGACATCTTTTGCTTTGTGAGCTTAGCCACTTCTTTGGCCAGGTATTCCACCTGAGCTTGCAAGGCAGCGTTTGCGGCTACGAGTTCTTCATGAGACATGCTTCGGGATCGGTTTGACATGGTTGATAGAAAAAGGGATGAAGTGGGAGTAGGGATTGAATGTGGTCAGGCCAAATTTAGGGAGGGAGTTGGGGAAGTGTGTATGGTCCTTGAGAGATGAGTAACAACCAGCTTTGATACCAAATGATGTACCTAAGCTTAAGAAAAGCTATGGATGAATAAGGGCAGATTAAAGATGGGAATATATGGTGAAGAATAGGTTGAATTTGTGTATGAAATGGTGAAGAAAGTATGGTTGTTTGGAAGAGGTGATAGGGTGGAATGGAGGGCAGGAGAAAGGCAATATATGGAGTGGTTTTTTGATGAAGAAATGAAGTGTTTAA